GCGCCGCCTGCCCCGCTCCCGGCGCGCACCGCGGCCCCTCGGGGCGTACCAAAGCGCAGCGGGCGGCGGGGAGAGCCGGGGCTCAGACCATCGCCCACCGCCGTGACGGGGGAGCGGCGGGATAGAGAGGCGATCGGCCTATTTTATAATCTAAATGTTTTACATACGGGCAGCGTGGCTTCAGAGTTAGTTACCCAATGGGTAATAAAGACCAATTAAAAATAAAATTATGTAAACAGCTTAAAGCTGCATTTTTCTGGCGGCCGCTCTGCCCAGGCTCAGACCCTGCAGCCTGAGGTGTTACCCGCCCAAGGCGCCTCCGCTACCTCAGATCTTTAACAGTCTTTAGAGATCTTTAACAGAGATCTTTAACAGTCCTCGAAACACCTCACAGTCACGGATTTCCGTACAAGTGGTGCATGACGTCACTGATGACCAAGCAGCGGCCCAGGGCCTGCTGCTTGTGGCTTACCTTGCACGGTCAACTTCAAAATACCCGGGTTTTGAACGATGGATTACGTGGTTTGACGTGGGGAAAAAAAGAAAAGGAAAAAAAAGGCTTTGATATGGTACCTGGAGAAGATTTCTGAGAATTCCCCCACTTTAAGCACAGTTTCACATCTAGAGCAGGTACATCTAGTAGTTACCACGCTGCTGTGCTTGTTGAGCATAAAGACAGACAAAAGGGTATTACAATGAGCTTTGTCCTGTCTCCTTTAATTTAAAAAAAACAAAACAAAACACCAAACAAAAAAACCCCCAAAAAACAACAAAAAACCCAAAAAACCCAGCCTCAATTAAAATAGTGTGTAGGCATAGCAAAACAAAGCCTCAAACTGGGAATTAAACCTGACTTCAGCTCCTGGCTTTGTGCTCACGGTTGTGAACTTGGACTCTCTTCACTTCCAAGTTTTCTCATCAGTAGAGTAGGAATGGTCCTCACGGCCTTAACACGGTGCTGTGGTTCCTCAGACAAAAGGATTAGTATTAATCTATTATTCTTTTATTTAAAGATGTTTTCCTCTTTAAAAAGCCAAATACAAATCAAAATGACTTATTGCATGTTGTTTAAAAATTCATTTTAAATACGCTAGCATCCCCTCTGACACTTGAGTATCTGAGAAGACCTGCAACCGAATTTAATTTCAGTCCTACTTCCTGCCCTCAGCCAGCTTCCTGTGACTTGAGGGCAGCTAACCTTTAGATACAAAAGTTCATAAAACTTTTTTTTTTTTTTTTTTTTAAAAAAAACAAAAGAGTCAACCCACCCGCTCTTGCAGCCCATTCTTGCCACTTCTGGAAGCTATTCCCCCTTTTCTACCCTCACCCATAGCTACAGAAGAGAAGCTGATATGGACAAAGCCAGAACAGAGGCAGAGATAAAAATATGAATTTTAATTCAGAGCATTTAGTGTATTTACAATAGGAAGTTTCTCCCTGATGAAGGGATGAGAGACTAAAAAAAAAAAAATATCCATGTTACAGATGTGCGCGCAACCTGCACCTGATGCAGGCTAATTGATTTTTGCTATTTCTGCTTCACCCGGGGTACTACCCGTGAGAAAGCGATGGTGAGAGCCTGGAGATGGTACAGAATGGCTCTCACACCCAAATAGCAATCACAGAATGCAGTTCAGGAAGTAGTGTGAAGTTATTCAACAGTTGCTAAAAATATATATATATATATATATGTACACATACACAGTCCCATTTGCAGTTAGATCAGATTCAGTGAATTGTTCAGAGACAGATAAGCAGGTAGACACAAGCCTACCAACCTGTGTGCAAGCACAGATTTGCAGAGGTGCTCACGCTACTAGGTACGTAGGTACCTTCTCACTCAGACAGATGCATGCATCCCTTTCCCCTCTGCACTTGGACAAACACACGGGCAGGTATTTTGTTAATGCTATCTTACATGGTTTCTAGGTACAGAAAAAAAAACTTAAGAAAAAAGCACCAACACTCTCATCTGATGTCTCCGAATCCTTAATTCCTCTTGAACCAGAGGGAAATGGGCATGTGAAAAGGATAACATCCTCCTTTTTCTCACAGAGCCGCTGGTTCTGAATCTCCACGACTCTTTTGCCACAGCGATAACTAGTTGATACCGAAAGAGGGCAATCCTCTCCTGCTCCCAGAAACAGGCATGTTGTCCTCTCACCACTTCCCTTAAGTCAGATGTAGCAATCAAAGGGCTGCAATGTGAGCCAGTTCAACTGTCTGATCTTGCAGAAAAATAGATCTGCAAAAAGTGAGCAAGTACTTTACCATCTGAACAGCCAGCTTACCCAAGTCACCCTGCAAGTTTACCCACCACATGGTGGGCGGAGCACCTGTTTCAGCAACAACTTGTCCGTAGAGTCACTCTGAGCTCCTGTTTTCAGCTTGGTCAGAGTCCACGCACCACTTCCTTTATGAGGTGCTTTCCCTCCTTGGGAAAGGCGTTATTGCAGAGGCTTGTTGTGGTTTAAAGATGCTGAACTACATGATGGTTGAGAAGCAAACCTCAGCCTTCCTCCAGCATCATCTGCTGCTGCTCCAACAAACCCAGTTAACAAGTGTTAGAAAGATAGGGAGGTATGGGAAAAGGAAGACAGGAAAGGAAGAGAGTTATGATCCTCTCTCAACAGTCATAGCGAGGGCAACTGAAGCAGAAATAGATTAAAGATGGTTGTGGAGGCTGCAAGGTTGCGGAGAGTTCTGGTTTAGCAAAGCCTCTTGAATAGCTTCACTACAGCCACTCAGCTCCATCTGGTTGAGAACACAGCTGATGTGCTCCACAGTTGCAGCATGGCCCATCTGCAGTTTCCACAGTCTAAGCATTTCATACTGGGCATCTCGTAAACGCCGATGCTCCATCTCAATTCGCTCTAGATCATAGTCACTCAGACCCAGACGCCTCACAAACTCTTTCCACCGAGATGGCGGTACGTGATCCACCACGGTGTAGAGAATAGCAGGGTCTGTGAAAAGAGAAGAAATAAGCATGAGAACCAGGATTCTACAGCCTCAAGGAGAACGTGAATAATCCAGCACTGGATGGTGCCTTAGGATCGTGCATTGCCCCCTCCTGTTCAGGTCTTCTACAGAGTAGCACACAGACTCGTGTGATGTCCAGACTTGCTCTTATCCCTCAAAAAGCAATGGGAATGCTTCCATATGCTCTTGTGTAAGGTTATGAGCAGAGCTGAACGCACAATGCTTAGGGCCTTGCTGCCACACATTCCTGCCAAAGGAATGCTCTGGGTCAGCATCCCAGAGGCATGAAGACTGACAGCACATCACCACATATGACAATCCATTTTGCTGGTACGGAAAAGGGACAACAGAAAGGCCTTGCGTAAATGTTTAGCATTCGCAGGCTCTGGGCATGCTTCTGCCTTTGTACTGTGCCACGCATGAAGTATACACACAGGTCATGTACGCCAGGTAGAGTCTGTCCAACATCCTCCTAGCCGCACCTGCGTCATCAGGTTCTCGTTTGCCTGGGGAAGGAGGGCAGGATGGGGCAGTTTCACTTACTGTCTGGAAGCTGTGTCTTTCTGGCAGGTCTGACACAGTCTGGTAACTCATGTGAACTCTGCAGCAGAGGTGCAGGTGGTGGTGTTTCTTTCACTGACAATTCTGTTTCCTTCTGAGACTCGGGAAGAAGGATGGAAATTTCACCTCTTTTTACCTCAACCTGAAAGACACATTTTCTTAGTCCAGAATCACCCACAGCAGCACAATACACCTGTCTCCTGCAAGGAACCACTAGCTTTATATACTAAAATTTATCCAAGATAGGTGGGGAGCAGGTAGTGAGGTTTTAATTCTTCCTATATGCCCTGTTTGAGCAGAAGGCACCAAACATTTCTTTCCAGCGGAACCCAAGGAGTTTAACTCTCTTTTGGCATCAAAAAACAGTAGTCTGGAAAAAATATTTCTTTGCAAAATCAAGTAAGGATGAGACCCGAAATCACTGCCATTCTAGAAGTTCCACATGCCACCCTTCCCATCAGCCTTCTCTGTAAGGCTGTGGAAACCCCACCTCAACTATTGTTGGGCCCTCTTAATTGCAGAACAACACTGGACCTGAGAGAACACTGTGAAGCAGCACTGAGAGGCTTGTGGGGTCAAGATCTGAAGTGAAGTAAAATTAGTTAAATCCTTTAAGCTTAGGGTACATAGGAAGAAAAAGGGATTAAGGACCAGCTATCTGGAAAAAAAAAAAAAAATGTGTCCAGAAAGAAAGAAGCAAAAAGCCAGGAGTTTGAAAAGCATCCTCTAGAAGAGGGGAAGTAAAATGTTAATGGCTCCACCCTCTACAGGAAAAGACTTCTGAATTAAACAGCCCTATTACTCAGCTCGTTTGAAAATACAAGGCCTGAAAACAGCCCATGGGGAAAAATGTTACTCTGGATCCCAGGCTAGCATAGTTGAAAGTAGAAGGAAAGCTCTTATACTCCTCATCTTGCTCACCTCAGATACTGGCTCCTTGGTTGTCTCCAGCAAAGAAACTTTAAAGAAAAAAAAAAAAAAAGAAAAGAGAAAGCAGAAATTATTTTCACTTCCTCTCTTCCCAAAGAAAACAGGAAAGCAGCTATTCACAATCCTGCCCTCAAAAGGTTTTACAGCAAAACACACATCTCCCGGCAATGAGCTCACATGCACTTCCAGTCACAGCTATGGGCATGGATGCAGAGTTGTAAGATCTGCACCAAAAGCTTAGCTGTCAAGTTCTCATGTTCCTCTGACCTTGCAGCAGAGTAATGGGATCCCACTTTTTCCCCTCACACGTGTGCACATACACAAACACACAAAGAACGATGTCTATCCCAATTAATATTGCTGCATATGCTACTGTACTCACCACAGGAGTGGAAAGATGATGCTATCGCATTTTCCTGGACCAGCTTCACTACTTTATTTACAACGTAGAGGACAGAGATAACTCCAAATATTGCAACAATGATGCCAAGGACAAGGCTCCCATCTGGACAAAAGGAAGAGGGCAAATGAGCGAGTGACTGAGAAAGGAAGAGGTAAGTGCTAGAGGAAGAACAGCAAACGAACACATGCAAATGGTAGGGACAAAAAGCAAAATGGTTTGAGAGAGCGCAGAAAATAACACTGGACAAAAGGCATTAACACAACAAAAGCCTACACTGAAAAGATTCCACTGTCCCTCAGTACTCACTCAGCCCAGATGAAGTCGGTGAGGTAGTCACTGGGCTATGACACTGCAGGCATTCTTCTCCAATGCAGCTGAAAGAGCAAATCAGAGAGGTGAGCATGCATTAAATGAAACACTAGCCATTTGCAACAATCCTAAGTAACAGACAAGTCAAGAGAAGACTGCAAAGCACAGCAATGCAGTGTGGCTAGTGACTTTGGGTTCTTAGTGGGCTGATGCCTACACACAGAGAAGACCGGGGGTGGCAGAGGGGAAGACCCAGATGCCCCAGAAAGGCAGAATGTTGCAAAGTTATGTCAAGATGGACTGAGCCTTGAGAAAAATTTCCTTCCCCTATGGGGCTTGTGTCTGCTGTCTCTCCTACTCAGTGGAGGGGCATACAGAGAGAAAAAAAGCTCACCTGTTGCAAGGCTTGCAAACATTACTAAGTGTCAGGAAGAATCGTGGCTTACACCTGCAAATTGTGTCTCTGTTCTTTGAACCTGTAGAGAAAAGAAGAAACGGTTGCCATAACCTGGACAGAGGAGAAAACAAAAGGAGAAAAATCTACTCTGAGATGGGTGGGAGATTATCCCTCTTTGAGCCTGGAGAGCTGCTACTGAAGAAGAAAAAGACGATTCACTCTATGTTTGAGGACAGGGTAGGGGGAGGATAAAAATAATAAAAAATAAGGGTACCACTGTCTTGGTAGGTCAAAGACCTCTGTAGAGGCTTGGAAAGGGACTAAAATTACAGTGCAGCTGAAATTGGTCTAATGGATAATGACAGTTGCAGTGCAAAAGCAGGGAAAGTCACTCAAGTTCAAGCGTGACAGGAAGGGGAAATCACACCAGTCAGGCAAAGAGGAGGGGGAAGTGGTCCCTGGGCAGCTGGGACTGGTGAGGAAGTCAGTTCAGGGCAGGGAGAAATCACTTCAAGCCATGGGACACACATCCACTCTTGTGATCTGCTACGCTGTGAATGGAAGGGGTAAGAAACCAAAGAGCTCTTGCTTCTAAGCAAGTCACAGTACGGAGACTGAGTAAACCAGGTGTGGTGAGCAGCAGACAAGAACAGCGATGGAAGGTCATAAAGTTGCATGAGGGGAGGGAAAAAGGTATTAGAAC